CACTCCTCACCAACACCTTACTGAGCACAGTATTGAAGATGCGATTCCAACATGAAACCCAACGTCAGAAGCTCTTGGGTAGTGATGGTTGCCTCAGTCCACCATCTCGCCACTGTCTGGGTCCGATCTGATCCGATACCAACTGTTATGAACATGATTGTCCGTTGAAATTTTATCAACGCTCACTCACAGAACTCTCGTACACGCCCATACATGCACAGAAGGAAGGGGAGAGGTAGTGGAGTGTCACACCGCCCAACAGAAAGAACGCAGCGGAAGACTCAGGGAAGCGGAGTGACCAAACACACAAAACTGTGAATTCTCTCCACACAGGTCCCAACAATCTTTCATAGAAGACAACCGAGTGATCACAACCAGAAATCAATGAAGAGATGACAACTCAAACACAGTAATACGACTGTTTATTAAACTCAGAGCATCGTTTTCCCTGAATAACCTCAGATCCCTGTTGCGCTACCCTCAGAGGGGTAGCGCCTCAACCCCACACACACCGAGCAGCTAAAAATAGCACCAGAACCCCAGGTAACACCCAGCGCCACCCTGGCATCCAACTCAGTGGCCTGCGCCAAGATGAAACAGGCTCCCAGAGGCAATCGCCACCCAGATGATGAAGAAGAAGCTCAGCTCCAACAGTCCCTGATGAAGATGAAGTCCAGACGATGATATCCTCTTAGAAGATGCAGCTCTGGCTGGATCACCACTGGGACCCTACTCCTGAGGACGGTCAGCATTGCACCACGTGTTCCAACACATCGGACCTCTGATAGCCCAGACCACTTTGACTCCCAGAGAGTCAGAGCGGACAGCGTTGACCCCAGTCTGGCCATCGCTCCGAAGGTCTGGCTATGTCTGTCGTTTCCCACACCGGAATCAGCAACCACGACCTGATATCGTGTCCGCAGCGACTTCCACCACAAAGTGTCAACTGCCAAAAGCCTAGGACCTAAACTAGCCTAGACACGACCTAGACCGGACTGACTGACCGACCCATACCGTTTCTGTTTCGGCCTCTACGGCCTCTCCCTACCCGGCTATAGGATAGAGGACCGTCTATCAGCTTAGGCCCATTGGGCCTATCTGTCCTAGGGGTAGCCCGGGTCTGCTATTCGCAGTTAGGGTAGCTGTAAGAAGTTCGAGTTAGTACCGGGCCCATATTTCCTATATTTACAAATATGTCCCTCACAAATTTTCCTTACTGGTAGGTCTCTCGGTTAGCCCTCAGCCAAACAAAATTACGAATCTATCCCTACCTAGGATACAGCCTCGTCAGAGAGAGGCTACAGGCAACGTGGAACCAGCAAGTCATTGCACTTTTTCCACCGCTTTCGTTTGTTGTCGTCCTTCTCCCGTTCGTCATCCTCCTGGTTCTCCTCCTCACGCAGCTGCTCCTGCGGTTTGTTGTCATCCTGCTCCTGCTCGTCGTGCAGTGGTATTCATCCTCCTCCACGTACCTCTTCTCCTGCCTCTTCCTTCCGAGGGCCCCCAATCTTGTCCTCCTCCCATTCGTCCACCTCCTCCTGCCGCTTATCATCCTCCCACTCGTCTCCTCTGGTTCACCGTCCTCCCTCTGCCCCTCCTTCCCTTCCTCCTCGTAGTCGTCGTGCTCCCCTCCCTCCGCCGCCGCCTCCTTCCGCTCACCATCTTCCCCTCCTCATCACGCTCCTCTTCTTGTCACTCCTCTCAGTTTGCTCCGGCTCGTCGCTGTCCCCCTCCTCCTTTCACTCCCGCTTGTCGTCATTCTCCCCCTCTGCTCTTTTTCCTGCCACTCGTTGTCCTCGTGTTCTTCGTCCTTCCCCTCCTCCCACTTGTCATCCCGCCCCTCCTTCCGCTCCTCCTCCCTGTTACATGCACAGATATGTGATGTTTGTAATAACCGAGGAACTGCAATGCGACGAAAAGGACTGAAATGGACAATGCGGTGAGAGTAGAATCTCGACAGACAATGTGCATTCTCATACATACAAAAGTGCTGAATAGCGCAGGGAAGACTTAGATACAAAGACTGACCTGACAAGGACTGACCTTACACACGTAGTAGCAAGTAGCGAAACAGACTGCCAGAATGTTG